TATCCAGTAGCGTCCTTGGTAGAAAGGCATCTTCTTGAAGAATGTCAGCGGAGCAAATATTTCTGCACGAAGAAACACAATCTTCACCAGACCTCTTTCGTGTGCCACAGGAGCGAGACTAGCAAATTGTAAGTATTGTCCACTCCATGTATTCTTCCGGTAGACGGATCTTTGTAAGATGTCATCTGATCGCCTCCTGATTTTTATATCTAAAAAATTCAAACAACCGTCCTTTTCCTCCTCAAGGGAAACAGCGAGGTTGGGATGAATGGTAATAAATAGTTTTAAAATGATCAGAGTCGGTAAAAATCAAAATATCATCAACATAACGTTTGTATAAAACAGTCATTGAAATGTTATCATTGAAGCGTCTTTCAACCATTCCTAGAAATACTTCGGCTAATATTGGGTCTAAAGAACTGTCCATTACTAAACCGTCAATTTGTTTTACTTTGTTCATTCAAATTCAAAACGTATGTTATCAGTGTAAGCAATGATAAGATCTTTTAAATAATCAATGGGAATAGGAAGATGAATATTCATTCAATAGATAAAATCATATAAAAAGTCCACTGTTTTATGGAGAGGAACATTTGTAAAAAGTGAATTAACATCAGTGGAAAATATCTTGTGAGACCAAATTCTCTATTAAATTTGCGAGTTCAAAAGTGTCTTTATTACAATGAGGCCTCAGAGTTTTACGAATAGAGTCCAAAATGGCGACCAACTATCGGGCTCCCTTGTGGTATGAAGAATTCTGTATGCATCAGATTGGTCTGAGTGGGGTACCGGATTTGTGAACTTCAGGTGAACCTCTCATCTGGGGTGTCTCTGTTCCCAGTGGTTTCAGATTTTTGTATTAAGCTTTAGAAATGTAACCATGTAATAACAGAATCTGAAGCTTTCGGGTAGTCATTTTTTCCGTGAGGATGTTATCAGGCGTGTTGTTCACTGCATCACTCGATCGTTCACGAACAGCCGGATGTCTCAAGTTTTCAAATGCCAACCGAGCCTTCCGTATAGGTGCGCTATGGAGTGGTTGGTGGTTTCTATGTAAGGCGGTGTCGTTTATTGTGCGGAAGTTTGTGTTTAACAGCAGTAGTCCGTGGTCAGCGTAAAGTTGTAGTAGGCGTTCTCCGTTATCCGTCCAGTTGGCTGGGATGGCATATGATCCGCAAAGAAGCCTTTATGGTTCGTCCAGGGATTCCATTTGAGCATCAAAGCCTTCAGCGACTACTACGGTGTCCGTTGATCGAGCACATTGCTCTATTTGAGAAGGTTACTTGTAGAATTCATCCTTCTTTTTTGGCCAACTGCAATCGGTCGGTACATAGTCAGATACGACAAGTAAGCACCGTTGCTTCGTTCTGTACCTGTTGATCAATGTCGAACCATCCAGACATAAAGCGCACAGTCGCCTATTAATCGGAATCCAGTCTAGAAGTGAACCGTCGGCCTTGGCACTTGGCGCGATTCCGACACCAGTAACACCACACGCTTCCCATGCCGAATCGCCGGACACACGAAAAGTGAAGCATGAGGGAGAAGTCGGATCTGGAGAACGCAAAGTGGCGATTGAAGTAGGGTCTTGTATGCGCGTCTCGGAGACAGCATGAATCTAAATGGAAGTTTCAAGCGTTCTAGCTAGGGCAGATTGTTGACAGATCTTCTAAAGTACGCGGACATTAAGTGCGGCTAAATGAAGAGGAGATTTTGAATTCAAAAATCTGTTGGCTTTTGGTTGTTTGATCTTACTAATTGAACGCTAATTGATATCCTATGTGTGGTGCAAACAAGAGGCATCTCATACGATTTAGGTGTGAAAGGAAGAACTGGACAAATAAGAAAGAGGGTTTTCCAAGTGGGTATCTAAGACTTTGAGGCACGACATACTTCGCGGTAACCCACACTGACGAAAGTGTTTTTCTTAGGGAACCGTAACTTGAGCATTTTACTCAAAAATGTAACCCGCAAGGCAATGGGGCGTAGATTCAACGCGTAGAGTGATCAGAGCACCCGTCTGGAAGCTTCAAGAGAGCTGTCAGGCAAGATCGTTGGGTTTGCGTTCAGTGGTGCGTTGATTATCAGTCCGCTGTTCGGAATTAGCCCTTAGCGCCATGCACCCAATGAGACAAGCGAAACGTGGACGGGACAGCACTGTGTTGACTGGGGGCTGTCCAGCTTGGGTGGGCTGTAGCTGTCCATCGATATGCGAATACTTCTCCCACCGTCGGGGGAAAACCCCGATACCCCGCTCCTAAGTCCATCTAGCGTTTTTTACCGGTAGACTTCCCCTTTCCGTATTTGTTTTCTGGAGTGAGAATGGATATTCAAAGGAAGTCAGGAGGTACCCGTGTAGCTTACCTTGTGAGACCGGGCCTTGTCTGGCCTCTAATCATCGACCTTTCAGGCATGACTGGACCTGCGGCTGTGAACGACCATCAAGTGTAACTCGCAGAGTCATGGAGACACGCAAACCATCACACCGCATCAAGGTGGGATCTCATCTTAATGGGTTTCGTCTATGTACCGAAAACGCTTTCTCCACCCAGTTTGCGTAAGGTGAAATTACAGAATGCTTATTCAGATGCACCCACTGCTCAATATTGACCTTCATAGGTCGGTTTTCTCTTTTGTTTGAATATATTCCACTTCGAGATTACATCATAATGGTAGGGGATTTTAGTAATATATAATGAACTTCATTGTGTGCAAAGCAAATAAATTGTGTCTGTGTGTGTACAGTTAGGAAGCACTGTCCAGCTGTTTCGACCAAGTTTGGGTTTATCAAATATGGAGTACGCTTTCATTCCGCTTGTAAGTTCCTTTTTTATAAAGATTATTGTATTGTGATTTTTATGGCACACATTTTGGACTCAGATAGGCGTGAAAATGAAACTCTAAAAAAATAATTACAATATATTCATAAACTAAGAGTACGATTTCAGGAGTCCGATCAACACCTGTATTGTTCTCCAAGGTGCAAGTTACCGATAATCGCAAGTTAACTGTAGGCCGTTGTGGCAATCAGATTCACTCCTTGTACACACTTCAACACACTAGGTTCTGCAATAAAACATCCGATTGCAATTCTGGTTGAAAAAAAGATACGCAATCAATACCCCCACTTTCTATCCCTGTCCAAATCGATTTTTCTCTTATTTTCACTAGATGAAATGACGATCAATCACGAATCAGCACTTGCTTTGGCTGTCTTTTAATGATCTTTAGGGTTATCATTAAATTTTATGACATACGCACACACCGATAAATTAACAGACGATTCTCTCCCTTATCTTTCTTTGTACCGCCATTGTTTTATTGAAGTCTTATGTGATTCGCCACTCTAAGCCTCAGCATCATGGTTTTTCTCTCACGTCGTGAATGCTGACACACGGCAAGTCTAAAAAAAATCGCAATGGGCTCTGTTCGAAAATAAAACATTCATGTCACTCTTCTATCGGAAGCTCTAAGACACGTGTACATCAAAGTTCTTCGGTTAACTTGATGATATACATGTCCTGCGCACCATGTATTGATGATCTATTCACAGACTCGTCTTGAAACCTTCCCAATTTTATGGGATTCTTCTCTCGTAGCTTTTTTCAGTGTGACATTTTCATTCATGAGCTGTTTCTCTCGTTTGACCAGGTTAAAGAAATCCAACAGTTCAAGGGACAGCTGCTGTCCGAGGTCGAAACATACAGCAGTCGTGCGGAACGCAAGGCAGCTAAACGCGAATTACAAGCGGATAGGGAGTCGACAGTGCCTTCGTGGTCGGCGAAACACAATTCCTTTCACCCGATTCACTCAACCGACATCTCGAGTGGTTCCAGTGTTGGCAAACGACTGACCATTTTTCGAGAGAATCAAGATGTTCAGTTGCTCGATCGGTTGAATCGAGTTAACGAGCATTTCGGTCGAAGACTGTTGGGTTTGCGTGAAGAGGAGTTGTCGGAGAAGCAAGCGATTCGGATGAGTAAGTTATCCCGTTCCGTGCCAGTGTTTTTATTTCAAGGTTAACCGCCTACACCTTCCTGCTCTTACCAGTAAGTTAACTAATCAAGGGTGTCCTTTTTGTAATTCTTTATCGATATCTGTTCATAAACAAAACATTTGTATCGGTCACTGTCTCGTCGTGCTTTGGGGGTTGAAATGTGCGTACATTCGATCCCACATAGGGTACGTCAATCAGTTTGGAATCCATGGTTGCAACGCGATCGTAAGATTCTCGAACCTCGGAGCAGACCATTCGAATCAAGTCATCTGTGGATTCGCAGCGGTAGAATAGTACTTATAACAAAATAGTATTGCTCAAAGGCTGTGAAAAAGTCAAATAAATAAGCAAAACCTTATAGCGCAAAGGTTGATTCCTAGCACATACTTCAGCCTGTACCTGATGGCCCGAGGTTTGATCCATGTGTGGAACGATAAAGTTCCAGTAAGTGATGATACTGACAGAGAAAGTCTTTTGAGTGTGAACTGCCTGTGATCAATTTCTACATATTCGTCATTAAAAATGGTTTTCATTAGACAGTATTCGATCAACCTTATGATCTCAGGCTTCAAAATAATTACCCATTGTGTGTTTGCTTGTGTTGCTGTGTTTTTGTGCGTATTACTTTGCATCGTATCAAGGGAATATCAGTTATTGCTTACTAGTCAAATAATTGCATTAACTGCACCATAAGAATGTAAGGAAGCAATCAAATGCACTATGAACGTTTTACGCACTTAGTTCTCAACTAACTCATTCATATTTCTTCATCGCTCAGATTTTGAGCAAGAGAAATGGAAAATGGATCAGCGCCACATGCGCATGCGACACCAGCTGGCCCGGAATCGACTCAAAGATTTCTTCTCCATCAAACGTCAGAAGTTGTCCGGTCTGCTCGATCTTGAATTAAATGAACTGCGTCAGGTAATAACTGATCTTGTTGACTTTCGAATATCGACCCCCACCGGTGGTTTCCCATTCCTCGTAGGTACTTGAGACCTCGTGGTGAACCATTGCGATCCCCCAGTGTCCTGTTTGCACACTTACTCTTTTCCTTGACAAATCATTTTGGGTGGTATAGTTCAGATCGCATCTATCTGCTCCCATGCCATGCAGCCTATTACCTAAAATACGGTGTGAACTGCACCGTCCTCTGTGATCTGTTGGTCGCACAAACACCCACACAACTGGTGTGGATTCTTTAGCCGTATCACTTCACTTTGCTCGTGTGACCTGGTTACGAATTAAACAGAGTCATTGTTTAGCTTCTTTCGTAACTGTCATGTACAAAACAGTTGACCACCTACCTGAAAGTTTGTTATACTAGTCCCATCCGGGACACAAATATTATGTTCACTGCACAGGAGTCTCAAAGAGCACGAAAGTGCCCTCCCTTGGCTTGCACCATCACAGCATTCTTAGCGAAATGTATCAGAAATAAGGGCAACTAAATGAACTCCTATACAGTGAGGCTAACACAAAAACCACAATACACAAACTTTCTGTCAGGAAATTCACATTGAAAATGATGAAAAGATCTGTGACCTGTCTCAACTTCTTGCGATGCCTCATCCGAATCTAAAAGCCGGTTTTGGAGTTTTATGAGAGTTTTGGTAAGAGGTTTTCCCACCGTTCCCGTGCCTTCTGCAAAGATGGCTCTTCGGCATTCACACGAATCAGTGCCGTCTGTAAGACAGCAGTGTGTTGGTGCGTACTTGCCGGTGGCTTCCTAAGTGCTCATTCCACCGGTGTGGATGCAATCCACAAATCCGTACATCTTTATTGAACAGGTATTCTTGTTAGCTCCTGAAGTGTACAACAAACCTCCACTTTCTGATGGTTGACTTTCCACTCATGCCCTAAGGTATCTCGTTTAGGCCTTGATTATCCTCAATCCGGTTTAACTCTCCTGTTGGGCGGTTCGATGGTGTGTCATCGCTAGTGCATATATCAGCTCCGTGAAAACACAGATGAGAGTCAGGTGATTTGTGGAAACCAATAATATAGAACATTCCCCAAAGAACATAGCAGTCACGCGGTCAAAGTTATCAACTTATCGCTCGGAAGACCTGTGTTCGAGCCCCATCACCGCCACCCAAATTCTCCATGCGTAGCGCCTAAATGGCTACAGCCCGCTTTCTTCTCGAAAGTTGTTAACTACTGAGATATGTTAGTGCCCTCAGGTACGATCTCCATCTCATATCATATTCCTGAAATTGAGCTCGCTCCACCCTGAACTATACGAACTACGAGAATTTCGTCACTGAATAACTGCAGTAGTCAAAAGAACATCAGTTCACGGAGTAGTTTCAAGTTTCGATATCTTCTATCGAAACTCTGTCATGATTTATCGTTCGCCGTATCTATGTGCACCCATTCAACATCAAAGGTCACATCCGATTCCATTCTCACATAATTTATTGATTATTCGATCCAGTGACCGAAGTCATATGGGTTCAACAGACCAATAGTATTAGTTTGTTTATGTATACCTTATGTGATCGGTTTTGGATCACTTCTTTTATTTATGGAATCCCCTACGGAAAAGTTGATGTTTTTTCTTTTGTTTTCCTTTAGTGTCGATAGTTAAAGAATCTGATTACGCACTGTCCTTTTTATCAAAAACCTAGTGATCGGTTTTCTCACTGGAATTCCGACCTCCGTTATTTTGCACTTTCTCTTCACACTGATCTGTTTTTTTTAACATACCTTGTGCACTCACACTCCCGACTATTTTTTCAAACAGCACCCACACGCCTGTTGATTAAGCTGTACCGTTCAATCCCATGGGAGTAACTCAATTTTTTTACACTGTTATGCGGTGCTCGATAGGAGCACTGCATTCCCTTCGAATTGGTATCATCGGTCATGGAACTCGATACATGAGTGACGAACCACAAGAACTCCTCACCCCTCTCCTCGAAGTATAAATGGTGTGATATATGTGAATCATGCGACCATGGGGTTGATTGTCTTTTCTCACTCTCTCTCTCTATTGCTCTGTCTTTGTTTGTTCAGGTTGTCTTCTGAACCTAAATTAATAATGCAAATAGTTGAACAAAAATCATCAGTTTCAGCACACTTCTTTACTTCTTATGTTACGTATTCTGCTCCCTGTTTGTGTGAGCGTGCACACTCATCAAGTTGCGCGACCGGTATGTGTGGCTGATCGCATTTTATTCACCGTTATCCAAATCTGTTTGTCATTCCTCCCTCCTTCCCACTATTGGTCAGACGGTCGAACGGGAAAGCGAGCAACTGTCCACGGTGCATGCAATCGAACGGAAAAACCATTCCAAAAGTGTCAAAATACAGTGCAAGAAAAAGATTGCAGACTATCAACGACAACTCCGCGGTGAACAAACTGTGTTATCGCCACAGTTTCGGGAACGGTTGCGCGAGGTGAGAACCCCGTGTGGGAAATGCCTCTAAGAGTAGAGGGAATAAAATCTTCCTGATCCATACTCTTTTTCGAACCGCCTATCTGGCTTTGGTTTTGTGTTGGCAACAAAGCTGTTTTACTAGTTGTTCCCATGTTTCCCCTGTATGGAACAGATGGGAAATGTAATATAAATATCCAAGTAATACGTAGATAAGGTCTTAATTTTCCTCCTAATTTTGAATTGGTGCTTTTTTCATTGTTTACTCACAGTCGAATTTTTATTATGTGAAATAGTCGCAACCTCATGCTTATCTTATTCTCGTACAATGTTTACACAATTAAATCGCTTCTCTTAAGATAACTATAAACTGTCACCTATAGTTTCGGGTAGAAGATAACGCATAATGATGTCTTCTAGAAATTTGCGTTTCAGTCGTGTAGGAATGTGAGATGTGTCAGGGTTTCTTCAAGCCTCCGCTTGAAAGATTCACCAGTTGGCGCACAAACAACGTGAGATGGAAGACTGTTCGAAGTGTTGCACACTGACTATAAAAGATTGTCGCTGGTATTCCAATCGACACGTTGGAATCAGTAACTTGAAACGATGTCTCTTATAGTGCGTGCTGGGCTAAAACGTGAGCAGCGGACGGATGGTTTGGGTTCTGCAGTATTTGGTGCGCCAAAAACAAGTTTCCTCGAATTCGGTGATACTGAGCAAAATATACCTCCAGTGATTGTAATCTCTCCTTCTAGTTGGGGTACTGCAATCCCGTGACCATCTCGGTTGCAATCCTTTGTGAACGCTCCAGCATCTTACTATCACATTGCAACCATGGTCTCCAGGCATGGATGGTGTAATCTGTGTACGGTCGAATATATACTCATAGCAAACCTGGGAACAAAACTGACTCAATTCGACCAAAACTGTCTAAACAAGCCGACATTCTTCACATCAGCCCTGATGCAATTGATCGAGCAGCTTACGTTCTCTAGAACAATTATACCTACGTCCTTCTCACTTGAGGATTGTGGCAGTTGGTGATTTCTGAAACAGTACGGGAATCTACTCCTATGGCCTAGGGATAGGACTGCTGTTGAATTCTGTCATTCCCCGTTGACTAGTTCAGTGATGGAAACCTAACCTAAGCCCCAGGACTTGGGGTTGGGACCTACATAAGACCCCTCTAGGTCAGGCGTTGTATTGAAAAGGACATTTAGAATATGCCCTTGCTCACATATATATTGATCTGACTACAACTGCGGTTCTTACCCATCTGGTAGTCAGTGGCTACTGTTTAAATACCTTGTTTGTCGGCGTCCTCAAACATTTCGTACTTTCTCACTCTACTCTCTCTTTTTCTCAATGGTTTCTGATTTCGTTTCACTGCCAACCTCATCATGGATGTCACGCACAATGCCATCAGTTTTGTTTCTCCCCATCTTCTGTGTGCTAAAGATCACTGTTAGAACAGCTCGCATATTACTATAGTCGGACAAGATTTAGACTCATCTTTTCACTGTTTTCTTTGCATTCTCACTCACTGTAAGAAGAATGTTTCGGATATTCTCGGTGTACGAAAGGGAAGTCATGCGTATGCTGTCCATTGTTATAGTAATCGAAAATCGGAACCCTAGGAAATTATGTGGTGAATCGTGACCCATCCAGAATAGGAGCCAGACATGATTATCTGCGGAGTTCCGATAGAGCTACCTACCTAACATTCGTGTATTTTTCATCCCTGTGAGGTCTTAACTATTGCTAACAGTTGATACGTCTTTCTGTCCGTAGATTACTATTGCGAATCCATTTTGTGATTTGAATTTATCAATCACTTTTTCACTTCCCGCTCCGTGCACTCTGGCCCCAGTTCCAGGATGCAGTTCAGACACAGATGCTGGAAGAAGGCTTCCAATTGGAACAGCGACAACGTAGTCAACAGAGTCTTCTTCAACGCAGCATTGCATCTCGAATGCGTGAGTTAGATCAAAACCATGTGCGTAAACGGAACGAGTTGTTGGAATTGGAGGCAGAACGTTTGCATGAGTTGGACGAGAAGCACGAACACGAGTTGCATGCGTACATTGATTCGTGGCCCCGCAGCCAAGCGGTAAGTTACTGAGTTTCATATCCATCACTTCACGTGTTTTGCTCCCGTTTGATGGCATCAGATTGGCACCTCGACTACCTATGATTAGAATAATATTTCCATGATGACCAGAAACAAACTTAATGATCATAAATGAACAAAATGGGTTTACTTCCTTTTGTATTTTTTAGTGTACAAAGGTACAATCAACTTTCAGGAAGGGGTCCCGGCCATACAAAGGCTGCCTGGTGAGATACCGAAGGAACCGCTCCGCAATTTCCGTCACATAATCTTGTAGGATAGTCCGAGATGCCAGTTTGGGGTAGGGTAATCCAAGTGTTATATCGTCTGCGTACTTGAGGTGAGGAATCGTCCTAGCACAGAAGTGTAAGCTGAAAAGAGAGGAAAATAATACCTTAAGGTTCATCTTGTGAGGATGGTAGTAGCGAAGTTGTACGGCCTTCCTAACGCGTAAACTGCTGGCAGTTGATCAGGAGTACAAGCGCCGGAGGTTGGACGCCGCTTGAAGAAAGGGTATTTCGCAATATTTGCCTATTTATCGCTTTAAGTCATCAGTGTAGTCTAAAAAACATATGCGGACAGTTTTGTTTTTCTCATCAAGGGTGAATAAAAGAAATTGGGGGAGAGAAGCAGGACATCCAGGTAACCTCAGGAATAGATATACGCGAACAGGCATGGGTTTCAACCTAATGTTTTTGGATAGAGTTTGAAACAGGAGCCCTTCAAACCGTTTCGAAAACCTAGGTGTAAGTAATGAAACTAAAATGTGAAGAAGCGTTCTCTGTCTTTGAGGTTATTTAGGTTACTCTCTTGTCTAAAAGTCTTAAGTAATACTGAAGACGAAACAATAGACCGAAACTTACCCTTTTCTTTCTTAGATACTGGAGTGATGCGAACATCACGCCGTGGTAATTAGTCTTCCTTCTGACGAACATGTATTATAGATGAATGAAACGGTTTGCGCGAGGTGGTTAGAGACGATGTTAATTAAACTAATTCCTCTTTGGTTCACACAAGAGAATCTGTCACCTTTCTTGTAAATCGGTATGATTACCGATTCAAACCACTCAGTTGGAACCTGGTCCCTGTCCCATACTGAACCCAGGAGTGTGATTAACTCCAAAACCAAGGCTGAACCTCCATCCTTAAAGACCGATGAGGATAGCCCGTCCTGGTCGGAAGCCTCATACCTTTTGAGATAATTTACTTCCCGGTTTGCCTCCATTTCAAATGGAGGACGGATATTAAGTGGCAGTATTTGTCCACTTGAGGCAGGTATATGGAGGTCCTGTGTCAACGGGGGCCAGCTGAACTGTGCCTTGAAATGTGCTGCCTATCGTTCAAGATGGCTCTACCAGATATGAATCAGTATGCCGTCAGACCCCTAGTTACCTCAAGACTACTTTCCTTGGACCCGTACTCCTAATAAAACAAACAAGATTGCCACTGTCACCGATAGGTGCAGCCTTCTCCAGTTCTCTAAACTTTCCTACCCACCACTTCTCGCGGTCATTCCTCAGACTCTTGATGAGTTGGCGTTTACGGGATTTGCACGCTGTGTCGTATTTTGCATCGAAAGGAATGGCTTCCCAAGCGTCCAACAGGCACTCGGAAATAAAGAGCTCATTCAGACCATGTGCATCCACATTAGATGCGCGGTATGGGGGTCTGATGCCAGTACTTTCGCATAAGAGCTCATTATGTTTCATGATTGGCTTTATTACCACGCCGAGCACGAAGGGACAGTCTGTGAAGTTCCCTCTTGTGGGGTTTAGAAGTGCACACTTCCGTGTGCTTATGTATTTTGAAGACGCGTTCCGTTTTAGGAGAATGATCGGGGTGGATACAAACTCTCTCTTAGTCTCACAAAACAAAAGTCTGGACAATTTGTGAAGATGTCACTGAAAATAGAAGGGCTATGATCTGAAATCACAGTAAATTCGGTGCGACCAGTCGTGTCTAGTAGTTTCAAGAGGTTCACAGGAGAACGCTGTCTGATTTGAAGCTTGTGATCACAAATTCGAGTAAATAGACGGGGATTTGTGTTAGTAAGAATGGAAGGCGAAATTTTTAACATTGAGTGATCAGAAGTCCCTAACAGAGCAGCATTCTATAGGAGGCAGATGAGGAAGGCTTAACAAACCTAAATCCAGATATGCATTAAGTCCGGAGGAAAAAGTGATGGTGTTGCGAAGACCTGAAGTCGTTATGAAACGGTTACGGAAATTGTTAAAACGGCTACAAATGGCGCAATCGAAGCATCAATATGTTCACTCCAAATGGTGAAAAAGGTATCGTAAAATTCACCATGAATTTCAGATGGGCAAGAGAGGGCAATCGGTACATTTAAAAGACTAAGTGATCGATAGAAACTCAATCTTTTGGACTTGCATTGCAGGACAGATGCTTTTGTGTGAAGTGTAGAACAACAAAACATTTTTGACCAGTTGACATCAGTGATTTTTGATAAAGGTGATAACACCACTACCACCCTGTCTGAAATAAGGAGTTGAAACATTGACACGGTAGATAACGAAGCCATCCAGGTGTACTATTTCATTATCAATATCGTTTTGAAGCCAACTTTCTTGTAGTATAACCACACCAGACTGAGAATGTTACTGCTTTTTGGCTAAGTTCGGTCGTATTTCCGATCAGAGATTAGACGCTACAACTGAGAATTATGAGACACAAACAGAAGATGGTTTCTTTCCGAATAGCGGCCGCACGCTCTATCAGATTGGCCAACAAGCTGCCCTGGCTAAAACTCTCGAAACTTTCAATAGGGATGATATGTTGTGTCTCCGAAGAACACGGATACAAGACCCTACTTCAATTATATCTCAATTTGCGTTCTCCTGACCAAACTCACTCCTCACCCTCCGTGTGTCAGGCGATTCGGCTTTCGAAGCTCGCGGTGTTGCTGGTGTCGGGATTGCGCTAAGTGCCAAGGCTGAGCGCTCG